GGTGACGAGTTGCATGAGAGGCCGCTAACTTCCTGTGAGGAGCAGTGGTAGGGGGTTGTGGTGGCGCCTGAGGACCAGAAGCAGTTGAACCACTGCAGAGGTGGGAGGAGCAACAAGAAATGGGGTGCAATATTGTCACAACAAGAATCAGTAGATGGTAGCTCACGTCAAAAGAGGAGGCACACAAAAAGCTGCAGCAACAAGCAACAAGGCGATGTTTATGGTCTTCAAGGTAGAGAAGAAACATGGAGAGATGTCCCCATTATGTCCAGGGCCGCCTCCCTTCTATACCCATAGTTGAGGTATTTTACCATGTCCTTGCGACTATTCTATGATTTTTATAGTCCTCACTAATCTACATTGTTATACAACAGTAATCAGGATTTTAGAGCAGACTGCATACTACTTATGTGCGTTTCAAATATGTGATTAATTAGCTAGGTAGTTATGTTTTATCTACTGAGTTTGAAGGGATCCTTTGCAAATCCATGGTTGATTTAGCTAGCTGGTCATGTTTTGTCTACTGAGTTTGACGGGATCCTTTGCATATCCATGTTTTGTGTACTGAATTTGAAGGGAGCCTTTTGAATTTGTCGTTGTGCTGGGCGACCATAGCCATCCATCCACTTGTTTTAGATATATTTGTGCCAAGTTTTAGGCCCCCGCGACATGTGTGTACGTTATTTTGTAGCAACCAAGACCGGTGATTGCACTTGACAAAGCATCAAAAAAATTATTCCTCGGGAAAATTTCATCAAGATATGTGTGCCAACTTCTATGAACATGGCGATTCTCTACCAATTTCACTTGATAAAACATGGAAACTATTATTAATCATGGTAATGTCATCAAGATATAGAGTGGCAACTTTTAAGAACATGGCAAATTCTTTTTTCATGTGTATGTGGGTGGTAATATAGGGAGCGGTGAGGGCAGTTTTAGTGTGGACATCATAAGAATTATAGTGCACAATCATGCGTATAAGAGTGTTTTATTTCTAATTAATTGTGGGATAGAGGTGGCATGTTGTATCAAAATTAGCATGGCAACTTCAATCTTTTTACTGGTGTTAACTTGCTTCAAATTTCAACTAACTTCTACTTGTTTTGGCAAAAAAAACACTACTGGAAAATTTAATGTCTCAATGGTTGCAAATTTTTCCAAGTTGAGATTTATGTGTTGGGAATGGCTACATTAGTTTATTATTATTTTGCAACTCTTGTTGTCACGGTGTTAAGTAACTATGAAATAGTTCGGTCTAGGACATTAGTAGGAAGCATGGCAACTTCATGCCTAGACCACAAAATAGCAATAATGCAAACTTAACTAGCTTCACCATTTTTATTGGCAACTTTTCCAAAATAATTTCGGAAACTACATGATCTAAGTGATGCCAATGAATCTGCATTTAATAATATGCATGTGCCACAAAAAAATTATTTGCTAAATAGTTACTAAATTTTGGTTTTCGGTCATAA